GGTCGCTTAAAATTATAGTGCACACTTTCTTCTTTCATGTCTAGTAGGTCCACAATATCATAATACAGAAAAAAACAAATGATCAAGTAGTAGTAAAAACTTGTAACGGGTGATTTTTTTGAGGTTAGGATTTTCATGCATTAGTATTTGACAGATCACGTGGGATTTCAGACATGGTGTCAAAGAGAAAGATGCTCAGTATGCTTTGACATTTCATCATGAATAGACTTACTAACGAGCAACGCTTGCAAATCATTGAATTTTATTACCAAAATCAGTGTTCGGTTCGCTTTACGTCCGATTTATGGTCTACATAATCGACCAAGTGAGCAAACAATTAATGCGATTGTGACCAAGTTTCGCACTCAGTTTACTTTATTGGACATTAAACCAACCACACGAATGCGTACAGTGCGTACAGAAGAGAATATTGCGTCTGTTTCTGAGAGTGTTGCTGAAGACCGTGAAATGTCGATTCGTCGCCGTTCGCAGCAATTGGGTTTGCGAAACACATTTCGAACCGAACACTGATTTTGGTAATAAAATTCAATGATTTGCAAGCGTTGCTCGTTAGTAAGTCTATTCATGATGAAATGTCAAAGCATACTGAGCATCTTTCTCTTTGACACCATGTCTGAAATCCCACGTGATCTGTCAAATACTAATGCATGAAAATCCTAACCTCAAAAAAATCACCCGTTATAACTGCCCATTGAAAGCTCGGTTATATAGCTTACGAAATAATAGGTTTAAACTTTAAAGACTTTAAACTTTAAAACTTTATCAAACTCGATAAATCTGACTTTTGACCAGTTTTGTTACACAATTACTCTTATGTGCTGCAAAAAATATTGGCTTAAATTTGTCATTTTATTTGTCAGATAAACATTCGCATTCGTAAAAGCTCCGCATTATTGCGAATGTGAATGTTAAAACTAATGCGGAAGTTCCATGTATGCTTATAGAGCGATTACTATCGTTTGCATATGGGTCAATTCACGTCAAATGTTCTAAAACGCTTTATAACTCGGAAAAATGAAAAAAGGTCATTTTTATTAATGATTTCTATGTCAAAAGATCTGATCTTTCGATTGAGGTGACTAAAAACAAAATTAAAAATTACCATAATTCACGATGGAAATGGGAAAATTTTCGAAAACGCATAGCATGATAGCTCGTACAAAAATTTAGAGAAATTAAAATTATTTTTATTTTGGTTCCCATTTTTGGTCTGATTCCCAGCTAGTAGAGAAGTAGCTTGTTTTGCTCCGTTCAGCGCTCTTTGGGCATTTGTTGTGAATTTACCAAAATTTTGCAACAAAAATTATGTATGCCAATTCCGTAATATATATTTCGCAAACTCTACCAAATTAGACAATATGGAATTGGCGAGTAAACATTTTTATTGAATAAACTTGTTTCTGCTAGGGTGACCAGACGTCCTGATTTATCAGGATATGCCCTGATTTTAGGGTCGAATTAAAGTGTCCTGACTGATTTTTCTTTTCCCGCCAAATATCCTGACTTTTAAAAGGTGACCTTTAATACACTTTTTACATATAGTTAGGCGCTTTTTTGTACATCGTTCACATAATAACACAGTCACATAGAGATGCTAAGGTTGGTTGCATTATAACTCGCTTAGATATCGTCAGTTCTCACTGGTGACGTCGAAGGAGTTTGTATAAATAAGTAGCCGCCCCAACCTTATTTTGGAAGTGTCACTGTGTGGTGTAACATCATCAATCGAACCATCGTGCTCTGCAGTAAAACTGAAACGAAGGTAGATACTTATTTAATGTGTTGTAAAATCAGCTGATGCATTTAGTTCTGCAGCTGAACAGTTTCAGATCTCGGCACTTAACAAACTCCTGGCTTTCGTGACTCGGCGCAAAAGTTGAACTAATAGCCGTGTTCGCATACGCACTATCCAGTAAATCCAGTACTTATTTTACTGGTTTTACTGGAAGTCGTTTTCGTACGCAAAAAGTTGCAAGAAACCAGCAAAAGAGAGAGAATTGAGAGAGCAAAAATGGCAGCTGAACTTACAAGTTTTACTGAATTTTTACTGCATACATTTTTACTAGCAACTATTTATTTGCTAGTAAGAAAAACCGCTAATGGCATGATGCTTAATGCAATCCACATTACCCAAAGAATTGTTTGTGTTGCTTTTAGAGCTGCAATTCACAAAATAAACCTATTTAATTATATATTAAGATGGGAACTATTATTTTTCTTAGAAAATTGCGTTGGAAAATAAAAAATTAATCAGCTGTACATAAAACTAGCAACTTCTTGCTGGTTTTGCGTTCTCGTACTTTCTTGCATATTTCTCTCATTGGGAGTAAATATTGGCTTACTCTCCGAAATTTGGTTTCTGGGAAGTTACTGGATATTTTTTGCTGGAGAATACGGAAACACAACTAATCGTTCCGTACGTCATGCGGACTGCGCCCCTCGTGCGCATGGGCGGGAAAGGGGGGTAAAACCGTTGGGATAATAATTATTATTTATGTTATGATCTTTATTTTCAGATAGAACTACGATCAAAAGCACAATGAATAATAAACGAGGGTGCCTCTAGCGCCAGCTGCGATTCGTACCGGGGTTCTCAGATTTTCTACGCGGATACATACTCTTTCTGCAAGCCAACGTCGCACATGAAAATTTGTTGACTGAGTGCCTACATATCAGCAAGTCGTAAATTGTACCCGTAGTCCGCTACTGCAAGACATTGTAACCAGTTTTAGTTCAAAACTCATACTTTATGCATTACATTCGGACCACTTTTAGTATAATTGACCTATTTTACATTACATTGCTTTATATTTTTGGACTATCTTTGGTCTAGATACAAAACTACTATACCTACGACCAATTAAACCAATCTTCCCTTCAGGGGGCACATACACACATACACATAGTTTGTGGTGTGCTCTAAATAAGTCTATTCCGAGATCCTATAGGGCCTAGTACTCGCTCGCTGTGATGTTGATTCAAACTCAACATTTGAAAACACATTTACATGTATGGCTGTAGCTGAGTGTGCAAAGACGCTTGATACAATTGGTTGCTGCCAAGATGGTCCGGGTTCAATTACCATCAGACGGAACATAAAATTAATTTTTTTTTTTCCTTCTTAATTACGAAAAAGCATCTGTGCACTTCACAACGACATATTTTATAACGTATGTAAGTACATACTCAAATTTAAGACGAGTTGGATTGGTGCTCTTTCATATGCGTATTTTTTTAAATTTAATTTAATTCTAAAATTTCTCCCCTCGGTGTATATTGCAGATTATTACAAGTGAAGTCCGAATGATTTTAAAAAATCTTGGTTTGATAATCAAAGCATTTTGTATTATTGATTTGCTTTTGGACTTTAACCTCTTTTGTAAATATTGGAAAGTTATTTCCGATAATTTAACCGTACCTGTGTTTTCGTTTCTACACACATATGTATGTAATTACATTCAATGAAAGCTCTCATAGACGGACGCTCTAATAAGTGGAAACATTCCTGGGAACGAACAATTTTAAGTTTTTTTTTCCATACAAAACACTCTCCCATACACAGACTTTCCGATAAACGGACGCGGACACTCAAAAATGTCCAGTTATGAAAAAGAAATCTCCCATAAGCGGACGCGAGGCTCTAAAAAGCGGTCAGTTTTGTTTTTTCTTCAGTCAGATGTTGATTCTTGCGCTTGTACATATTTTATTTTCTAGAAAATGTGTTGCCTTTTCGTTGCAATGAGATTTGTCGGTAGGAAAGAAAACGCCATAAATTTGAATTTATTTTTAATTTTTCCTGTTTTTGGCTATTGAAGAATAAATACTATTTTAATTTCGATACCCATAATTTAAATTATTTAAATTTGAATTTTAATGTTATATTTTACGAAATTGCCAAAAGCGGACATCTCCCATATGCGGACAAAACAATTTTGAATAAATTAGCTTTAATATTTACTGATTTATCGAGGATTTCGTATTTTTCTAAATTACCGTTATATGGGATGTGGGCACGGTTATTGTCCGATTTTTAAAATTTTCGGCAATTTGGTGTGCTGTACCAGGGCCAACAACTATGCCAAGTTTGGAAGAAATTGGTGCAGCGGTTACCACGATATACACATGTAACTATAAGTGCGCGTGGCTACGCCCATTTGCCAAAATTTTTTAATATTCTTATTTNTATTTTAGAAAGCTATACAAAATTATTACGAGTAAATATTCAGTTTGTTTCTCCATTTTTTTTCTATCCCTAGTACCTTCTCACATTTTACAATCTTTACTACTTCAACTGTGGTGAACCAACTTTCGGCAAAGAAATCGTTCATATTAAAGTACGCGTAGTCGATGAAAAACCAACTACAACACATATTAATTGTGAACCCCCGGCACATGATTCATCAACAATTTGCATATCAGGCCGCAAAAACGTACATCACCATCATCATAGGCGAAAGCACTTGCCGCACAAGTTCCTTCACTCAAAACTTCAGCACACGGAACACGATGCATTGCTGACCAATATTGTACTATCAGATTTAAAAACTCCAAGCAAGAATACACATTCCGAATTTCTAAAATATACAGACGACATAACCAACAGTGTGGCAAATCCCATAGTGCGGGAAGATTCCCATAGTCATTATGGAAAAAGTGCCCATAAACGGCCTCTAAAATATGTTGAAACGTATAATCTGATTGACATCAAAGCACCACTTTTCTTCGGAGAATCTTATTCCCAACAACATCATCACCAAAATTCGTATCAGAAACCAAAGAAACTTACTGAATTTATCAAAACTCATGTGCTGAAGCATCATAAACCAACGTTGGAAATATATGAAACTCATAAAAGCGTCGGTGGCACAGAAGGTCATGGTATCTCTCACATGCCCTGTACGAAATTTGCAGAGTCGCATATAGATGAGTACAAGGAACTGAAATCGATACGCCGAGTGATAGTGCTTACTTACCGCGTTACAAAATGTATGCAACAGCAGATGGCACTCCGGAAATAGATGTGCCTGCATTTTTAACACCTAAGCAGAGTATCTCTTTACCTAACATAGAAGCCCAGGACTTTACCGGCGGAGGGGTCGAGACTGGACATTTTATGCCATTCATTGGTACCATGTATTTGCCTGCTAGAGAGGCAAGCGTGATGTCAGAAAAAGCTACTGAAACCTATATCGGTATTAATAGCTATTCTGCAAGTCATATTCAAGGTGTAGATGACCCAAGCTTTATATCTTACTTCCAAAGAATTTACTTAAAATAAGGTAGAGTTACTTTATGCAATTTAGTTTGAGAGTATCTTAGTTTTTTACATACTTATTTATGTATGTATTTACGTCTTTATCTATGCCCTACATAGTATCTTAAGTCAATTAGTTAAATAAGAAGGCAAAATCAATACGCATAATAAAATGCAAATAAAACACTGTTTGATATTCATTTATTCGTTTTTTTTTCTTCTAAACACACTTAACATTGAAGGCTTCTGTCGGCGCACGTGAGACACTTAAGGGGTTTCATTCAGTACATATATGGCTACGTTGCGTATTGTATGTCCACTTAAAAGTATTTAATTTTCATTAGAAAGGTGCAAAATGTATGTAAGTGCATATCAAGTATACCTACATATGTACATACATATCGCACATTTGGTGCAAGAGTGTCATAATCCAACAAAAAAAAAATATTTAAATACATAAGCATGCAGAAATGACCTCTTCTTCTATATTGCGTAAAAATTGCATAGCTGTAGCGATTAACCATAGCTAGTTAGAAGAAAAATTTTTTTCAATCTGATTTAAAAGTTAGAAATTTTGGTGAACAGTTTTTTTAAGTTTGAATCACTTTTATGAATTTTGTACAAAGTTTGCAATAATGCTTTATATGGTTTTTGTTATATAATGAGCCATATTTTAAACGCAATTGATATCTAATGGAAAGTATTTCGAATATATATTGTGAAAAAAACTAAATTATGAATACTTCTGTGATTATGCATAGTTTCGTAGGTATATGGTCGAAATTGCTATATCTGTTTGGTATTTTTCAAAACAAAATATATTATTATAAGAGTTACTGTAGTGTTTCGGACTAAAAGTACACCCGCCTCCCAAATAACGGTAAATTTCAGAAATACGAAAACTCCGGTATTTCAATTTAATTTACTCCATGTTAATAGGTACAACAATCCCCTGACAATAAATAAGACTGCTATAGACTTTGAGGAATTGGGCGTGGCACCGCCCACTTTATGCCTACAAAGGTGTATTTCGGTAACCACTTTAACGATGTATGCCTAAATTGGTTAAATTATATCTTAAAGTCTAACTCTGCATATTATCGAAAACGTTTGAAATCGATTAAACACCCCTACTTAGACATCGGTTAGATGAGTGTGTAAATTTTTTGTTTTTTAAATGTCGAAAATCAAAAGTTCTAGAAATATAATATATATATGTAATCTGTAAACTTGAAAGCTGTTTTTCTCGAGTTTTTTAATTTTTGGATTATAAAGCAGGGATCACACGATTTGTACATTTGTACAGATTTTAACATTTCCACAGTTACAGAGTGGTGTTGTTTGGAAAGTTGTTATTGAGCTGAACTCATTATTTCTAGGCAACACCACACTGTGCCAAAATGTACAAATGTACAAATCGTATAATCCCTGCTTTACACTCCTGCAGCAAATGAGCGATATATGTGACCTGGTCTACGAAAAGGGAGCTTACGTGCGAAAACTAGTTTTCTGTGAAAAAGCTGTTAAAAGTAAGCAACTCGTTTCGTCAGTTTCTCATTATCTCGTTAATTGTTCTCCGCGCCGGANGTTGGTCGGAATATTATTATAGTTTTATTATTTTATTATTATTAATATTATTATTATTATTATTAATATTATTATTATTTTTAGTACACTTCTAAGCAAGTTAGGATTTTCTGCTTTTCACCATGTGAAAAAGCATCTCATCTTCCATCCGAATCAACCAAAAAGTGAAAATTGATTTTTTGACACCTAAGCCCCCTTTCCGTAGACCAGGTCACATATACGTTTGCTGGAGTTCTTCCATATTTCAAAAAATCTATAATTTGGGAAAACGAATTTAAAGTTATTTATCAGTTATTTCTCTTTGAACAAAAATAAACGTAAACAATATAAAAGAAACATTTAATACAAAAAATAAAACTGTCATCAAACCTTAATTTTTTTTCATACTTTGTCCAAAGAGAGGTTAGTTTCTAGTCATTGTTGCTAAGCAAATGCAAAAGCATAAAACAGAAAACATGAAAAGAGTATAAATTAAAAGTTTGCTTTCTTCCGAAACATTTGCATTTCTAATAAGTTATTTCAAACTTAAAAATCATCAAAAAAATTCACGTATTTCATAATTTTCAAACAGATGCCTTTGATCGGCTGTTTTTCGTGTTTGCAAATTGCTGCTGGCAAATTTTTTCGATCAGAAACTAGCAACTTTTCTCCAAGTCAACTGTCACATTGCGCTCTCAATTTCCCCTGCTTTGCAAGTTTTTTGCGTACGCGAACGCCAAAACCTATTATGTAATTTGTGATAATTTGCAATAATTATCAGCTTGTCGACCAGACTAACGACTGGTTTTCACTATGTCATATTCTGACGCCAAAATTTGGCGACATATATTGATACAACTTTATCTACTTTATCCATACCTTTGCCGATGATATTATGGGCCAAAAACTGACATTCAGCCGGTTTCGCAGCGCATGTACACGACTAAAGACCTACCCTAATCCAAATCAATCGATAAACCGCATTCTGATCCCATTTTACAATAGTTGCGTTGCAGATGCTCATGATGTTCACGATTTGCAGGTTTTTTTTTGCAGGAAAGCGTTCCAGGTGCCAAAAAACCTGCAAGTCAAACCACTTTTGTGAGAGTAACTGCTCTCTCTCTCAGTCAAAAGTTGCAGGTTTTAGTCCGAAGTTTTTCTTCCTGCAAGTTCATGAAAAGTGTCAAACGATAGGCAGGGTTGCATTTGTAAACAAAAACAGATAGCAAAGAACATAAAGCGCCACGGAGACAATCAAATAAATACGTCAAGCATTGCATATGTGTGAGATTGGCTCGTGTCTTGCCCGCAAACGTTCAAATAAACGCGTTAGTTCAACAAACAATTTCTTTTTCTTGTCTGCGCACTTGCTCACCACGACGATCAGAAGGCAAGTGCGCTTGTTTTTTGTCAAGCAAAACGCGAGACGGTTGATAAAGATATTTGATCGTCTCCATGGCGCTTAACATTAAAAAAAAATGGAAGTAGTTCCAGGAAAAGTAGTTTTTCGCGTTCCAGGTGACTTTTATTTTTTCTCTCTTGCTCCTCTCTTTCAATAGAGTAATTTTGTTATTTGACAGTTTTACAGGTTTTTACACGAAGTTATCTGGAACGTAACTAATATCTTTTCACTTATTTGACGATAAATGCCACTGAATTTGACATAGTGAAAACCAGCCTTAATAGTTATTTAAACAATAACTATAAAAGAAGAGCTAGCAATTACTGCGTACTTAAATATCATTTTACTTGTTATGACGTTATGTCAGCTAACGAGCGTTATGTATGTGCCTACATACATAAGTAAATAAGTACATAATTAAGTTCATTTGATGTCACATTTTATCTGCTTAGAAACTTTTAAACTTAGGCATAAATTGTATAAAGAAGATCATATAAGTGGCTATTGAACCCAGCATCTGAAAGAATAATGTTAAAAAGATCGTGATATCAAGTACATTTTTTTTTAGATATGCATGTATTTATGTTCCATAAAACAAAAATATGTATCTTCACTTACGTCCCTCGCCATATCGCATTTTAGCACAAAGAACCCAAAACCATCAATAATGATCTGCTGGTGTAGCATTTGTAAAGTGAAGCTTTGTAACTGAGAATTACACCAAAACAAATAAAAAAAAATCATTAATTTTGCTTGTAATTGTACGTGAAATAGCTGGAGGTGCTTTTGACCTTTTTGTTAATCTAAATCTTTACCCGTGTTGAGATGTTGAAGCCTTCTATGTCATGACGTATTTTGTGTACATTGTGAGCCAGAAAATTTGTCTGTTCAATAAATAAATAACGCAAAAATCTTAATGAAGTAATCTGGTAATACATACTATGTACATTTGTATACATATCTATATGTATGCAAATGTACATGTGTATCAACAATAGCTTACCGATCTCATACAATCCCGCGCTGTAATCAACAATAGAAAGATGGTCATGGCGGAAGGAACAATCAGAGAGTACTCTAAAAATAGAAAAGTGATTTTTTATAAATTTAGATAAGTATATGCAGATAAGTGATCCAATCCAATGATAAAATATTTCTTAACTTGCTGGGGACTTTTAGGCAACCCCCAGCATTCGGACTTGGCACCGATCGGAGTAGATTTACTCCAGACATACGCTTTATGAAGTGAGCGAAAAAAATTGCATATCAAAAAGGGCTTATTGCTACGGTGACCATCTCTCCTGTATTATACGGGACAGTCCTCTTTTTTCGTCCTTTGTCCTGGTAATTTATTTATTTCATACAGGACGCCAAATGTTCTGTATTTCTTTAGGTGTCCCGTATTCCGTATTTAGGCGACTTAACAGCTCATAGAAATTACATGCCTATGAACTAGTTTTTATTTGTAAATCTGGATGTTTGCGATTCTAATCGAGGAGCACATATCAATGGCTGAGTGGAAGATCGACCTATCTCGGCAGCCAGTTCGAAAACGCCCTAGCTCAGAAAACTTTTCAGTAACGCCTTAATTCAGAATTTTATTGAAGAATGCCCTATTTCAGAATTTTATTGAAAAATACCCTATCTCAGAATTTGGTAGAAGAACACCCTATTTCCGAATCCGGTTCAAAATACCACTCAGCCATCGATATGTATGTAGATGGTTTCTGAAGTTATAATTATGCGCTAAAATTTCAAACTTTTTTTACGTATATACCCTGTAGGGAAACGAACTAGTGCGGAACTGGTTCGGTTCTAGTGCGTTTGGAACCATGACTAGTACGCGTTAATTCTCTTTTGCATGCTAGCCACTGGCGAATTTAACATTGTGATGTCCTAGGAAGTGTCAATTGTCTCTAGTTCCGAACCAGTTCTAAATTCGACAAATAAGATCTAGGTCGTTTTGCATCCCTTTTTCTATAGTTCCGAACCAGTTCCAAATTCGACAGATGAGATCTAGTTGGTTCTGCATCCCCTTTTATTTAATTCCAAACCAGTTCATAATTCGACAAATGAGATCTAGTTCGATCTGCATCTATTTTTTATAGTTCCCAACCTATCATAAATTCGTCACCTTAGATCTACATTTCTAATCAGGCTTGTCGAAACATTTCCCTTCTATATTAAATACGATCGGTTGAAGGAAGGACAATACAATCCCATATGTTTAAATGCATTTATTAAAAATTTATAAACCAAATTAGTAGTAGTAGTAGTATTAAACTTAAGTAGTAAGTAAAAAACAAAAGTGCGTTCTGCTTAAGAGTAAAAATATTAGTTCACTTTGTCTTACTTGTCTAAATTTAAGCATATTGATTTTTAAGTAAATTCAGTTCTTTTTAAGCTTATTGTATATGAAGCACTTCGAAAGTTTTTGTCGTACTTAACTTAAATAAGATATACAGTCAGTCAATAAAGTTAAGGTACAGTGAAGTTTTTACAATACCGGCAACTATTTTTTAAATATTTTATTTTCCCTAATTTTTTATAAAAATATGGTTAATTCTACACCAAAAACCCCAAAAATCAGAGTTCCAAACCTTATGCAAAATTAAAGAAAACTGCAAATTTCCATCCCAGTATTGCAATTTACACTCTTTAGAAAAAAGTTAAGTACTCAGTTATAAGCCCATTCAATTTTAGTATAACAAAGTGCAAGTTTGAGGTAGCTAGGACTTAATAATAATAATAGATTGGCGCTTACACATATGTTAGTGTTTGGCCGAGCTTCTCCTCCGGTTTGTGGCGTGCGCCTTGATGTTGTCACACAAAGCGGAGGGACCTACAGTTTTACGCCGACTCCGAACGGCGATTGTATTTTTATGAGAAGCTGTTTTTCATGGCAGAAATACACTCGGAGGTTTGCCATTGCCTGCCGAGGGACGACCGCTGTNAAATTTAAAATAGAATAGTTTAGTGAAAGTACCACATTTCACTGCTTTTGGACTGGGCGGAACTAGTTACTATCGGACTGGTTCGTTTTTGGCAAAAAAGAACTAGTAATCTGGTTCACTAGTTCGTGTTTTCCCTACAGGGTAGAATCAAAAACAAACAAAAAATACACACAGCTTGCTGTCCAATGTGTTGGGTGTGGAGGCAATTTTTTTTGTGAAGATATGTTCATTAGGCGAAACTACGCCAAAAAAATTATTGCTGATTGTATGAAGGATTGTATTTTCAGCGTGAGAAACTCCAAATAAGATTGCTACCAGGAGAATGTTGTAAAAGTAAAGAAGTTCTCAAAGATGGAAGGGTACGCTTTGCAATTTGCTGGTTCCGAATGCTATTCACTGCATTGTGCTTGGTCGAAATTCAAGCCTGACAACAATCCATTGAATACCACTCGTGCTTCAAAAGTAGCCGAATATTTTCGTCATATTTCCCTGCCTAGGAATGTTTGAAACACATTTTGCGGGGTAAAAATCCCGAGCACAAATTACAATGTTATGGAAAAAATATGTGTGAAGTTACAACTGAATATTTATGTGCTGCATTCACAAAATACCGAAAAATATATGCCAAATAAAATGCTGTTTCAAGGCTTTTGTGGAAAAATTAGCAAAATTATTTTTTGTCCCGTATTCAGCTGCCATAATTATGGGCACCATACGTATAGCCTCTATCTATCTTCATTCTAACATTTTATCTCGTAAATGTGGTGTGGCCTGAGCGGGCACAAATCTAAAAATTCTTTGTCCGCAATGTGAACGTTTTTGGTATTTTTGTAAAGGTAATTTATCCACCACAAAGAATAAAATAATAATTTTCTTATAAAACAAATTATATTCCACAAGGAAGCCACTAAAGTCAACAAATTTTATACCAAAAATTTTGATCAGAGCATAGCCTGGCGTAGGTTCTTCTCGGAAACAATTGTCGAAAAAACATCCTTTGAAATAAAATGTTGCTTGACGGTCAGAAGCAGCGTAGAACTATAGGCCTCTTCAATTGTTGGACTCAAGGCCGTAGCCAGGATTTTTTTCCGTTTTTTTTTACTTTTATTTCAACATAGATCGATTAACAGAAAAATACTTATAAAAATAAAATATCTCAACTAATCAACTAATGTACAGTGGTCGAACAAATTATAGCCGCACAAAATTTTGGTTAGTTTTTATAGTTCATTCTTTAACAACATCCGTACAGATACAATTGGGTATTCGCCGAAATTTGGTGTAAAGCGCATCCCAATTGTGTGAATACCCAAATATTTTTCTTTATCCCAATCACGAAATTTTCCATTAGCAGATTGCTGTATTATACCAATCTTTGACTACAAAACAAATGTTCCCAATTTTTTTATTTGGTCCCAATAGCCCAATATAAAAATGCACAAATCTGTACAAATGTACCAATCGAGTAACACTGCCTCAAAAATTTATGCAATTAAAAAAATATAAATTCAGCAAATTTTCGTAAAAATTTCGAGTTATATTTTAAACAAAAATCAGTAATGTGAAAAAACAGCCTGAACTTTTGGAGTCACGCGTACATCTAAGCTCAGATAACTCATTTTGAACTCTTCGATTTGTTTCTCAAATCCTCGTTCAAGGTTATTACCAAAACAACTTTTTACGACACTTAAATTTTTTAAGCATGTCTATATATGGTAATGCTAGGGCATCTAGATGCATTTCTGCATCAAAACTAAAATTTTGAAAAAAAATGTCACTTACGTTATTTTGACGGTTAGGGCTCGTTATAATTTCAAAGATATGGTTAATTCCAAAATTTATTTAAAAAAATTCAGTGCAATGTAAAACAAAAATATGGGTACCAAATGAAATAATTTTTTTGGGTTCACATGGACGAATTTTTTTTTTAAGCTAATAAAGTCAGTCCTCAACGCATAATTTTTTCAAAAATAAGAATTGAAAAATTTCAAGGATATTCGAGGATAAAATTATAAAAGGGTATTTTCATTACCTTCCCGTCCCTTACGAACCAAAACATATAATGTGTTTAAACTCTATGGAATCGTCTCCTTTATTTGATAGCCATACTGGTTTTTTAAGTATATTGCACTGAAATTTTTAATCATTTTTTCAATTACTCATATCTTTCAAATTTCAAAGTTGGTTAAAAAAATCCTGACGTCAGAGAGAAAATTAAGAACGCATTTTCACTATATTTGGCCCTTGGTTTGGCAAATATATTAATTTTTTTTTGTGTGTAAAATTGCCCGCTGCAAGGTGTTATATGTATATTAAGCTACGCATTTATTAAAAAAATATTAATTATTAAATAAACAAAAGAAATATAGCCAAAGCTGTTCAACATAAAACGTTTCTATTGTTTCCACCAGTGTAAATTACAAATCCCGAAAACCCCGGGATTTTTTACCTTTAAAAAGACCGGGATCCCGGAATCCCGGGACTAACATTCCTTATAGGTACACGAGGCAAAAGAATTTAATATCAAAATAAGAAATACATATGTAGCTAATAGGGATGTTAATTTTTGGGCTTTTCCCGATCCCGGGATTTTCGGGATGTTTTTGTCACAAACCCGGGATCCCGGGATTTAGATATTCATTACTTTTCAACAACTTGAATCGAAAAAATTGCTTCTATGTTGTTTGAGAAGCTCTCCTACCATGAAATAAATAATAAATAAATGGGTTTCAAACCTACTTTTTTATTTAAAGTGGCGTTTTATTTTTTCTCTCTGACCGCAGGATTTATTTTGAAGGACTTTGTAATTTCAAAGATATGATTAATTCCAAAAATTATTAAATAAATTCAATGCAACGTAGAATAAAAATATGGGTAACAAATACAATAGGAAATTTCTTTAGAATTTAAAAAATTTATTTTTTTTTTGGATTCACGAGGACGAATAGGTAATTTTTAAGCTGACAAAGTTAGAATAACAAAATTCGACGATGTTATCGAGTTTATATAAGCCCTTAACCATGATACAAAAAAGAAGGTAGTTTCATTTAATGACATTCCTTGTTGTTGTTAACCATTTGACTTTTAATAAAATTATGACATTTCATCAAATTCATGCTACCT